AAATGTCTGGCTCCGCCTCTGGTTTGAGGCACTTTATTGTCACCACTCAATTTCTGGGGCTGTAATCACAGCGGGTGTACATAGGTGTGTGTCTGTGTGTGGTTTTCTACAAAGGAAATAAACAATGGAAATAACGATAAATAAAGAGAATAGACAAGTAAAACACTCAAATACAGACATAATACAATATAGTTAACACAATTAAATATAAAGATCAGAAAAATATAGTACACTTCAAACTGCTCACACTATGCAACTAAACGGCATTAGTGCGAGGTTAAGTTACCGTGGGGACACAGGAACTTCCGGTAGTTATATTATTAAAAAAAAAAAAAGTAAAGCGTCCGCATTATAATCAGCTGTAATGCTCTTATTGCGAAGGGCAAGCAGGAACGCCATACTTCCGGTCGAACTATGTTTGCTATTTTATTAATCCTCGTACCTAATTGTTCACTACAAACTCCGCTACTTTAAAGTAAACAATCACAAGCATCACATACAACATATAGGGAAGGTCTGATAACACAAGAATGACGTTATGGACATACAAGCGACCGTCATGCGTCAACAAAGCTAAACCGGGGTAAGCTAACAACATAAATTAGCTTATGAAATGAGGGTGAACTCACGCGTTGCATGCGTGGCCTACCACTCCAACTATGGACTACATTAGCTCCTAAATGGTAACATACTACAGTACTGACACAAACAACGGCAAAATACAACACAGGCCAATACTTGTCATTTACGCACACATAACTTTCCCCAGGAATCAGTGCACCTCCTCCGGACCAACACTGCTCATCCGACATTAAACTGCCCACCTTACTAACCGTCACTAGAAGGTGGGCTGGCCCAAACTGACAGAAGACTGAATATTAAATTAACTTAGATAAACTTATAAACACCAATAAAACTATTCTATGAACTTTGGGGCCTTTTATACAAGTTAATCTCATTACAGCAGTTTGATGTTTCCCTTTGAATCCCCCTGAAGATCCTGACAGTGAAGCACGTACATAATACTCCAGCCTTTCAACTCTGAGCTTATTTAGTTCTATTAATACACTGAAATCTCATTTGTGTCATGAAGAAAGTCTTTAATCAAACAGAATTCAAAGAT